GAAGCTAATGCCAGCAGGAGGCTAATGCTAACAGGAGGCTAATACTAACAGAAGGCTAATGTTAACAGGAGGCTAATGCCAGCAGGAGGCTCATACTAGCAGGGGGCTAATGTTAATAGGAGGCTCAGACTAACAGGATGCTAATGCCAACAGGATGCTAATGTTAGCAGGATGCTAATGCTAGCAGGAGGCTAATGCTAAACACACATCCAGGTTGCCTACTGGACCTCCTGAGGTGATTTTGATTTTACTTAATCTAAAGACCTAAAAAGCTGATTTTTAATTATTTCCCAGAGGGGCCAGGCCTGGATGTGGATGCCCAGATGGTCCAGAGGGTCTGGTCTGGGTCCAGGTCTGGGTCTGGGTCTAGCTCACCTGGCGGCCCTGGTTCCTGAAGAACTCTCCGGTGTTCTGGATGACCTGCTCGTCGGTCAGCAGGCTGTAGGGCTGCTCCTTGCACAGCGTGAAGATCTCCCACAGCGTGACGCCAAAGGCCCAGACGTCACTGGCCGTGGTGAACTTCCCCTGCAGAGGGTCGGGTTAGGTTCAGGTTTTGGGTTTGGGTTAGGTTTAGGTTAGGGTCACGGTTAAGGGTATGTGGTAGGGTTTGGTTAGGGTTAGGTTTTACGGACAGGTTTGGGTCAGGGTTTGGTTAGGTTTAAGTTAGGGTTAGGTTTAGGTTTTAAGGTTAGGTTTAGGTTAGGGTTTGGTCAGGGTTTGGTTAGGTTTAAGTCAGGGTTTGGTTAGGGTTAGATTTTACGGTTAGGTTTGGGTTAGGTCAGGGTTTGGTCAGGATTAGGGTTAGGTCAGGGTTAAGGTTTGGTCAGGGTTTGGTCAGGATTAGGTTTGGTTATGTTTAGGGAAACCAGATCTTTGCCTCTCTGAATGTTTGCCTTTCAGAATCTTAGGCCCTGTTCTGAACCCTTTTCTCTCTGAATCTTTGCCTCTACATCTTTGAATCTTTGCATCTCAGAATCTTAGGCCCCGTTTTGAACCCTTTTCTCTTTGAACCCTTTTCCTCTGAACCTTAGCCTCTCTGAAGCCTTTTCTCTCTGAATATTTGCCTGTACATCTTTGCATCTTTGAATCGTAGACCCTGTTTTGATCCCTTTCCTCTCTGAATCTTTTCCTCTCTGAATCTTTGCCTCTACATCTCTGAATCTTAGCCTCTCTGAATCTTTTCCTCTCTGAATCTTTGCCTCTCTGAATCTTTTCCTCTCTGAACCTTTTCCTCTCTGAATCTTTGCCTCTCTGAATCTTTTCCTCTCTGAACCTTTTCCTCTCTGAATCTTTGCCTCTACATCTCTGAATCTTAGCCTCTCTGAATCTTTGCCTCTCTGAATCTTTTTCTCTCTGAATCTTTTCCTCTCTGAATCTTTGCCCCTCTGAGGCCCGGGGGCCCGGGGGCGGGCTCTCACCAGCAGGATGCTCTCCCAGGCCATCCAGCGGATGGGCAGCACGGCGCGGCCCTGGATGCGGTAGTAGTCGCTGCTGTACAGGTTCCGGCTCATCCCGAAGTCGGCGATCTTGATGGTGAGGCGGCGGTCCACCAGGCAGTTCCTGGTGGCCAGGTCCCGGTGCACGAAGTTCAGGGAGGCCAGGTACCGCATCCCCGAGGAGATCTGCACCGCCATGTGGAGGAGGTCCGGCAGGCTGGGGGGGGGGGGGGG